TCCTTCTTTCCTATCAAACATCTATCGTCCTTATCTCCCCTTTTTCTTTTTTATGTCTGTTACTCTCTTGTAACACCTATAATCTTCTGGCGCTCATATGACCTTGCGAGCGCCGTGAAACCTCTACTAAAACTTTTTTTTAAAACATCTGTTTGAGCCAAGGTCAAAGAGGTTGGCCAAGGTTGATCAAGACTTGGGTATGATATTGGACACGCAGTTGAGTTTCGGTCCTATTATTTTATTTTCTTTTCTTCTTTTCTTCTTTTTTTTGGGAGGGGGGGGGGGGGGGGGGGAATTATCTCTCTTTAAATTCGGCGCACTCTTGAAGATGTTCCCTGCTATTTTTGTATAATTGTTTGTGCACAATAAAAATAATTTTATCTCCAGCTATGGCGGAGGAGCTTGAGAAGAAACGACAAGCCCTGGACAAAGAGAGGCTGAAAAACAGTTCCAAGTTCTTGTGGGAGTACAGCCCTCAGGACCAGTTTTTCGGATGTGAGGATTCCGACATCGAGGTGGATGCTGCTGTTGTGCCATTTAGTCCCACTACACAGGTTTGTACCGGCTTTTGGATAGCAGACTTTGAAAGCTGTAACGATGCAGTAACCTCTGCACGAGCCGCTTTAAAAAAAATTATATTTTCTGTAAAGAGTTTTGAGGCATTTGCAACACTTTAGGTCATACCAAGTGCTGAAGATTAGAAAAAGAAAAAAAGGAGAGATTATGACGACAGACGTTCGCTAGCAAAGTAAGAGCAAACCACACTAGAGCGCCCGTCAACCTCCCACCTGCTTTTGTTTTGCATTTTCATATCAAGAGACACGTAATAACAGGCTGTCCTTTTTGTGAATACTTTGATGCGGCCTTTAAAGCAAAAGCCTTGGAGAATCTATCTTTGCATCACAAATATTTTTTTTTTTCAGTTTTCGGAATTTTTTTTTTCTTGGAGGCTGATTTTGTGTTAGAGTTAAACCTAGAATCCTAACGTCATACATTTGCTGGTACAAGTTTTTGACTTTCTTCTGCAGACAGATGAACGAACAAATGTGTTGTATTGTCTATATATATATACATTTGAGGTTTATTGCTATTGTAACAAATGCCTCACCCAATCGCATGTACAAGTCACTTTAAAGAAATAAAATAATTTTTTCTTGTTTTCTTTCACTCCGCAGTCAAAATCTGTCTCTAGAGATGACCCACTCTCTGTTTTGAATGTGGATTCAAAAGACGCTGGTGATAAAAGTGAGAGAACGAGGGATCAAGACAAGCCGTGTTGTGGGGACAAAAAGCTACCGTCCAACTCGTCGTACGAGCAGATGGACTCTGGTCTAGTGTCGGGCGTCTCTGAATGCATTACATCTATAGATGAGAAGCATCTGACTAAGCCTACTACTCCCTGTGTTCCAAAGTCCTCCAGTTCGCCATCCGTAGACTTCCACAAAGAGACAACAGACTGTGATAAGAAAGTCAGCAATTCTTCCTCGGCATCTGATTACCATTCTGAGCCCGACACCAAAGTGGACATTATTTCGGAAGGTGTGAAAAGTGATGAAGGTTTTTCTGATACTTCTGATGATGCAATGTTCAAAAGCCTCTTGAACTCCAGAAGGGTCAAGCAAGACACGATTCATGGTCACACAACCTGCACAGGTAAATAAATCTTTTGAGAATTGTTTCTGTTCTCAGTCCAGTGGCCTTTGAGTGTGTACTCTCCTGCACAATGTCATGTTAAAAAAAGTGGAAATCTTCAAGAGTTTTTCTTTGTTGCAGTACAGGGTATTGTCTGTGGTTGGGACGATAGAAACAAGTTATCATTTTTGGGTAAATTTGTTACTGTTCTCAAAGGCAAAGGCATGGGTGTCATAGAAATGAAATTGCTGTCGTTAAGATATTAAAATGAATTCATTATTATTTTTCTTGCATACTACTATGTTTATAATAGCTGAGTATACAAACTTAATTTGGAGTTCATTCTCATCTTTTTGGTCTGTTTTGGAATCAGTTCAGTTGTGTCTATAAAACACGCTTCTTGGTTTTTCTGTTATGTACTTATTCAATTCAAAGAGAAATATATGGGCTTAGATTTAAATTATATAAGGAATAGACAGCTTTAATTGTAAGAAGTAAGGGTATCTGCTTTGCCTTCCCCTCATGCTATAGAGTAGAATCTGGCTGAAACACCCAGATCTTGTAAGGGGAAAATTTTTTCCTGTAATGATTACCTGCTGCCAATTCACTCCTGTTTGTTTCCTCAATTCTTGCAGCTTTCTTGTCTCATCCATGCCCTTTACTTACGCAGTTAGGAGCCTTATGAGAAGTGTCCAGTTGTCTGTTCAGTCTCTCCTTATTCTCCTCTTGGCTTTGTGATTCTACCAGGATCTCCACGTCCGATGCTCAGATGAGACAGTAGCTTTTTTGAGTCTTTTTTTGTGTGTTTTTTTTTTTCAACCATCTGTTCTCAATCTTTCAAGGGTTACTGTACGCCCGCCTCTTTTAGAAGTGTGTTGATTTCCATATAACTGATGAAGGGGCAGCAGTGTATGTTTAATTTTTGTCGTCGCTTGTTTTCCTGATATATTCATAAGTACACCACAGGCAGATTAAATTCATTGCTTCTCAATGGAGGTGATGGGGGGCAATTATATATTTTTACTTGGAGCATAACTTGTGCAAGCTACCAAAGGAATGAAAGAACTTTCACTAGAAATGGGTTCATTCTTCATCTTGACTTTAGCCAACTTTTGTATGTGGTTGGTTCGCATGTGTTCTGGTGCGGTTTGCTTCTTCTTTCCTATCAAGCATCTATCGTCTTTATTTCCTCTCCTTCTTTTTTATGTTTGTTACTCTCTTGTAACACCTCTAATCTTCGGCACTTATATGACCTTATTGTGTTGTAAGTGCCGTAAAACACTTACTAAAACTAAAACAACTTTTGTATCAACAGAGACCTTTGGACCATACTCTAAGCTGACGGACACAGTGCGGCAGGTGGCAGGGCGTGTGACAGAGAGGACACTTGCTGCACTGGTGGACTACGCCGAGACTGGTGATATCCGACATCTGCTGCTGGTGCAGAGACACCTGCTGGCGATTAGCAATGAGGATGGGGATCTGTAAGTTATGTGCTCTTTGCAGAGCTTTTCTTTCTCTTTTTTTTTGAGTTCTTTATAAGTTACTCTTTCCTTTCACTGCTTTTTTTTGCTCTTCACATCATATAGTTAGCAGGTTTTTAAAAATTGTTCTAAGCCCTGGAAGCTAAAGTTTTTAGGAGAGAGAAGAAAATACTGTTTCATTCTTTTAACATTTGATCCCGCACCATATATCTTTTCTTGCTTTTGGCATTTTTTTGGCATTCAGAATTTTAATTTTGACAAAATATTTCTTGAGCTCTTGACAATGGCAAAGACAGTGACAATCTTTATTCATCTTATGCGACCAACAAATATTCTGTATAACAAGATGGTTCACTCCTCTCTTTGAACCAATTAAAAAAGTGTCCTCTAAATCCGGTGGCGCCATCTTCGAAAAAGAGCCCGGTTTGCGAACAGAGTTATCCTACTTGTGTGGAAAAAAATCATAGTGAAACTAAATACCAAGTTTTTGTAAATTTCGGAATAGCGTTTTTTAAAATGGTTACGCTGACAAAAATGCTCTTCTGGTCTCAAGGGGCGACTGTTTTCTTCGTTTAATTTGGCTTTAGAACGAGAGGCGAGAGGTCATTAAAATAAAAACGGCCTGAACCCAAAACTCTGCACTTAGTGAACCGGAACAGCTGATGCACAAGAGGGTGTTATTCCTATTCTTCTTCTGGAGAAACGAAAGAGAGCTTCAAAATAAAGACTGCAGCGACATCTGAACCAATGCGCGGACTTCCACAGACCCTTTTTTCGCTGAGTGAACTATCTTGTTATGTACAGTTTTTGGCAACCAATATACCACAGATTTAGATACTGCAATTAAAAAAAGATTCAAAATTTTAGTCTTGCCTCCTCTGAACTGCTGGACAATGATATTTGTGGCATTTTACTAAAATCAGGTGCTCATCAAAGTAATTTTTGGAAGAAACTGACATTTTTCTGTCCATTTGGCTATTTTTATCAAATTTATTTTTGGGTTCAACACTTTATATCCATTCAAAAACTCATTTCTGTACCGATTTTACTGAAAAATGTTGATCAAACGTGTTTTATGACTATTGCTTTCAGTGTATAAAGTTTTGACTGTTTCTGTACTGTTTGGAGGTCTGTGCCGGCCAGATTACTTCTTGCCAGGATTTTATTAATAATGAAGAAAAGTGGACATGCGTTACAGATCTAACTACTGACTTTGTGCCAATAATTTAGACAACTGGTTAAGGTCGGAAGATATTTCAGGTAAAAAAAAAAAAAGCAAACTTAAGGAAGAAGGATGTTTAGAATTACATGTATAATATTTTTCTCATTTCTTTTTGTCTTTTAAGAAATTTCCAATTCGGGATATTCTGTCCTTTATATGTAAAAAACGATTTAGAAGTAATTATGTTTCTGTCTCTTCTGTTTCTCCCAGTCCTCTTCATCTAGCGGTCATCAATTCACAACCAGATGCCCTGAAAAGCTTGCTGGAAGTGATGATCACACTGCCACAGTCCAGCCGTCAGGTCAACTCTTTCAATTTACTGCGACAGGTAACTCTAAGTGGTTTTTTTTTTACCTTTTCATTAAAAAATAAAGAAATTAATGTAACGCTTTAAGCCTTGTTGACTGCTTTTTGTCAGTATTTTTCATAATCGTTCAACTTGCCAATTGGTTTCTGGAGTTATTACTTGAGTTCACTTACTGTTTTTGTGCTCATCATAATCCTTTAAGGTTTGTGGACCTAGAAATTTTTGTACTGACAATGTTATTTATTTCAGTTACATTTTTTTTTTCCATTTAAGTTTAATTTCTTTCTTGTCTTTATATTTTTGTACAAGCCATAGTATTTGAACTGACTTAATTTCTTGTTTCTGATAAGTCTCCTCCTTTGATTCCTGATTCATGGCCAAATGGCTGAATTAATAGTCTTCCCCCCACCCCCCACACCCCTATGAAGAAGCACTCGTTTCACTCTTTATTGTGGTGTTTATTGTTATTGTTGTTATTATTATTATTATTATTATCATTATTATTATTATTGTTATTGTTATTATTATTATTATTATTATTATTATTATTATCATTATTATCATCACTATTAGTATTACTTTTATTATTATTATTGTTATTATTATTATTATCATCTTTATTATTGTTATTTCTCATTATATCATTGTTATCATTATTATTATTATCTAAACGTATTATATTTGTGAAAGTTCATCACCTTGGCCTCTTAAAACTTCGCAACTGCTTAACTTTCGAATTTGAAAAAATTAACGGTGGTTCAGAATCATTTAAAGGGTGCACAGTTTTACTGAGGAGTCTGAAGTCACTGTAGTTTATTTTTCAGTTTTTCATTAGTTTTGTTTAGATCTAATCTTGGGAAAGTCTGTCTTCTAAGATGCGATTGTAAACAAGTGAGGCTTCTATTCACAAAGAGTGCGTGCACTGATTTCACAATGATTTGACAATCGATTCTTTTGAGTGCGTTCATCAAACGGGAAACCCAGCAAGTTATTACACAAACAAACATTTTGATTTCTCCAGGGTATTATTAAATTTGAGTCCAGTGGGTGGTTGGTGGGTGCTCTGGTGTGGTCTGCTTCTTCTTTCCTATCAAGCATCTGTCGTCCTTATCTCCCCTTCTTCTTTTTTATGTTTGTTACTCTCTTGTAACACCTCTAATCTTCTGGCGCTCATATGACCTTATGCAGTTGCGAGCGTCGTAGAACCTCTACTAAAAGAAAACAAATTTGAGTCCTTCCCTTTTCCTCCTCAGACTCCGGCCCATCTGGCCACGGTGATGCAACAACACCCGATGGTGGAGATGCTGCTGCACGCGGGCGCTGACCCCACCCTGGCCGACCGCAACGGGAACACGCCGGCCCACCTGGCGGTCATCAACCTGTCTCACCAGTGCCTCCAGTCCCTGGTCAAGTACCTGCGGCCAGACGCCACCCTGTGGAACCCTTTCCCGGAGCTCAACTATTTGAACTATGATGGTTTGTTTTGTTTGTTTTGTTTTTTTGTGTTTTTTGTTTGTTTATGCCTTAGTTTCAGCTACAGAGATCTTTACAGATGAAAGACCAAGACAAATGATCACCGAACTAAAACTAAACGAAATGATCTCTGATCTTTACCCTTTCCCAGAGGTCAACTATTTGAACTATGATGGTTTGTTGTGTTTGTTTATGCCTTAGTTTCAGCCATAGAGAGATCTTTACAGATAAGGGACTCAGATAAATGATCTATTATCTCAACTATTTGAATTATAATGGGGGTTTTTTTGGTGGGGGGAGGGGGTTTGGGGGGGGGGGGGGTGAGAGGGTGTTTGTTTATGCCTTAGTTTTAGCCGCAGAGAGATCTTTAGAGATAAGTGACATTAATAAATGGTCACTAACCTCAACTATTTGAACTATAATGGTTTGTTTTGGGGTTTGTTTATGCTCAAGTTACAAACACAGAGATCTTTACAGATGAATGGCTCAGACATATGGTCACCCTTTTGTAGTTGTGAGCGCTGTAAAACGCTTGCCAAACTAAAACTAAACTAAATTATAACTGACCTTTACCCTTTCTCAGAAGTCAACAATTTGAACTATGATGTTTTGTTTTGTTTTGTTTGTGTTGTGTTAAGATGACTGCTGTAGGCAGTGACTGTGATTTAATTGAATTCTGTTAGGGGCACCACAAAGTTGTGTCAGTTGGAAAGGCACTTTACACTGATTCAACAGACTGAATCATCATGGAAACTTGTTCTTCATGGTAGGCTCGGTGTAGTGAACTCCCTGTATTAATCGTTTGCGAATGTGTTTATATTTATGGTGTTCAGCTGGTGATTAAGTATTGCCACTTTTTAATACCAGCTGTTAAAATTCAACATTTTGCTCACATTGCCATGACTGTCTTCGTCCTTCTCTGTAGGGTATTCTCCAATTCACCTGGCATCTCAACTTGGCGACGTAAGCATGCTGCGCACCCTCGTCTTTGGCAAGGCGGACGCGGACCTGCCAGACGGCAAGAGTGGGAAGACGGCACTTCATCACGCAGTGGACAATGATGACTTGCCCGTGGCAGGGTATTTGTTGATGGAGGTTTGGAATGGCTTCATTTCTTTTCTTTTTTCTCCTTTTGAAAAAAAAAAAATCCATCTGTTGATTTCTTCTTTTTCCTTTCTTGAAAAGTTATTGCGCACGTGATCAAACTGAGGTCATAGAACATGTCTCATGATGGTAAATGATGGAGAAAAGAGGAAGTGGAGAATAATGGACTAGAGAAGAAGAATTAAAGAATTCTAGTCAGTGAAGTAATTGTCTACATGTTCGAAGTCATACTGAAAATGCAATACAGTATACTTATATAAAAATAAAGCAAGATAAAAAAACAACTCATTCATACATGCAAGCTCCTAAAAAGATATTGATATCGTGGGTGGGGGGAGGAGGGGGCATAGTAATTTGTTTTTTTTGGTTTTTTTTCTCATGTCCGTTACAGTTTATAAAGTATAAAGTTAATCGAGAGTGGACTTGGTCTTATTAAAAATACTTCTGTGCTCCACAGGCCCATGTGAACGTAAATGCGAGATGCTTTGACGGTAACACAGCCTTGCACGTGGCGTGTGCACGACAGCTGGTGGGCATGGTGGCTTTGCTGGTGGCTGCAGGGGCCGACGTGGAAATTGAGAACGAAGAAATTCCCGAAAGTGATGTGAACGCTGACGACTCGGGGAGCCGGGACAGGAGAGGACTGAGGCCGGTGGATTATGCTGACGATAACGATCAGGTAGAGTAACTCTCATTCTTTTTTTTTTTTTGGTTCGTTTTTCATAGCGAAACTATATCTAAGATTTCTGCTCTCTCCATTAGACAGGGAACTTGTATAAATTACCCCCCGGGGCGGTGCCACTGACTGTAGTGTCTTTAGGCCATTCCCAAAGGGGGGACATTTCTCGTTCAAGCACGGTAGAATTGTAAATGGGCTGATTCATGTCACGCTCATAACTGTGCCTAATCTACAACGGGGAACTGCTGCTTTTTCTTTCTTAGTCCTTACTATTGTCATTTTCCTCTACTTCTTTTGTTTGTTTGTCACTCTCTTGTGACTTGCTATTTCCGGGGTGCCTTGATAGTCGAAGCAGACCTTGTGCTGTTAAAGCTAGAGAGGTGAGCAGAATAAGTCTGATTCCCTGTAAAGACTTCTCTGTTGACACCCACCCCTTGGTGCTCATATGACCTTATGCAGTTGCGAGCGCAGTAAAACCCTCTACTATAAAAAAAACAACAAAAAAACCTCAAAATAGAGTTACTACTTTTTACTCTGTTGCTTTTGTATGCCCATCCTTATGAATTTAGGTGCCTATTTAACTGCTGTAGGGAGTACTTTTGACTTTTTGTAAACTTTCTCTTGAAAGATTGAAAAAAAAAAAGAAGTTGGCTGATTCTCATTTATATTTTCTCATAGATAACACAAATCCTGTACCAGATGTCCAGCTTGGGTCTGGATGAGAGCTGTGGAGAAGTCATGAAAAAACTGGACATCTCAGAGAATTTATCAAACTTACATGTTGAGAGTGTAATGAAAGGTATGCTTGGAGCACTTTTTATTTCCCCAAATTATAGATATTGTCTGGCGTCGGTGGCCTAGTGGTTAGGCTCTCGACTCGCAACTGTAAGGTCGTGGGACGAATCCTGTCAGGGGCCTGATGTTGTGTCCTTGGGAAAGGCACTTTACACTAATTTTCCTCACTTCACCCTGGTGGGAATGGGTAACCGTCTATAGACAGCGAAAGATCTTGTCAGTTTGTTAGTGTTTTAGCGCTTAATCAGTTGCTTGCACTGTATGCTTCCCAGGAAGCTGAGAATGTTTCGGAGTGTTCTTTGGTCTGCTGGGGTAATAATATAGTGTAAAGCGCATAGAGCCTGGTGTTGAGCGGGGTTATGCGCTATACAGATACTATTTAATATTTATTATTATTAATATTTATAAATTGCATCTGTAATTATTGGACCCAGGTGGCTAAAAATTTGATGTACTTTTTCACCAATATGTTCAAAGTTTTTCTTTGATGTCAATGCAAGATCACCTCTTTTCATGACATGAACTGTTAGTCCAAGACAAGCACCTGTTTAAGATAATTACTTTTTTCCTCGCGATGATTGTGTTGTTGTCGGAAACAGGTAAGACTGTATCTGATTTTTGTTTTTGTAAGACATGAGTGCATGTAGTTATAGTTTTACTACAGTGGTGCCGAGTGTACTACATTACTTTTGACATAACAATGGAAGTTTTAACCTCTTAAGAAAGCTGAACTATGGGGCGAATGTCCCTGGTTTGAATCCCAGACTGGGAGTTCTCAAATTCTTTTTGTTTGAAGAATGTTCAAGGCTCTCGACCCGTTTGGCTCGGTCCTATCGGAGATGAACGTTAAATTTGGAGGTTTTGCCTTTTAAATAACTGAATATAGTGAACATACTGAATATACTCTTACTTTACTTACTGGTTATGTCATGCCGAATCATGGTTTCCAACTGAATATCACCACCTCACATATGGTACCGGTTAGTACAGTCGGAATTGTCCAACAAGAGAGCCAGCCATTGTCAAGACATAAAGTGCTTGTTTTAGACAGGTGTGTATCTTGGACAGTCGTAAAAAAAAAATAAATAAAAAATGCAAACGGAGAAGTGGAGAGTGGTCATTTGCACAGGTGATTGTCTTGGACAGATGGTCATTAGAGCAGGATTGACAATACTTGCTTCCCGTTTAAAAGAAAAGTGAAGTGGCTTGTTCCCTTACTGAACCTCTAGCATAATTTCTTAAACATATAGGAGGAGCAAATTTTAACCTTTCTTTGTTTGTTCTTGTATGTTTTTCAGGCAGGAGCTGGCAGTATCAGCATATTCATGGAGAGACAGTTACTAACTGAGGACGACAACCTTATCATGTTGATTTATTGTAGTAGTCTTTCCATGAATCATGACCATGTTGATTATTATTTTTCTTTCAAGTCCTCCTCAGACCAAAAAATAGCTATTGTTAGATTTGAATATTTCAACTCCCATGTTTACAAATTTGATGTTCTTGAACTGGAATAAGATGTTGGGATGAGGAATGAGGAAGGTACCTTTTCATATTTTCAAAGGATTCAGAGTTTATAGTGAAATATTGACGGACAATTAGGAAGGGCAGGTATGGTCTTTGCTGGGTTCATTGTGTTTCTGAACAGATTAGCTGTTTGGTGGTCATAGTCCACTGAAAATGTACAGTTTATCATCTTCTATAGGACGCATGCACCGATAAGGTGCAGGTAGACCCAAGAGCCAAAATTTGTGTATAGATCATATGTTCAATGGATAAGGCGCACCAGTTTTCTCTGGGCAAGCACCATCACCCGTATCATTGGGTGTTTCTGTAGGTAACCAAACCACACTTCAAAATGAAAGAAAAATACTTTTTATAACCTATTTTTTTCTTAGATCTACAAATATATGGTGCCTCTAGGAGCAGTCATTTTATTTCAAAATGATGATGTCCTCGTGATTAACGTCAAAATAGGTCTCTGATCTCGTCATCGTTCATATCAATTGCATCCCCTCTGTCATACAAGTCGCACACATTTTGGTCTTTGATCTCATCTGTTACTTCAAGTGCACAGTCACTGCTCTAGCTTTCGTTCCTGAGACCCTCATAGTTTGTTCCCTTGACCATCACCCTCTCGGTTTATTGGGTCTAATTTTTTATCTCATGGATCAGACACAAGACAACTTTGAAGACTTGATGTTTAGGTAAAAAGCTGCATTATATATTCGATAATATACAATTACTCATTGATCCTGGATCAGTCTTTCATCAGGTTTATCGTCATAGAGAGTAGTTTGGGGTGGGTTTTTTTTGCAAACATTAAAGACTCCTGCCAGATACCATATTTTGAAACAGAGAAAAGACTAGGACTTATAGACATAGTGCACACAGCCATTCCAATTCATTTGATTGAGTTGGACCAGCCAGATTTTTTTCTTTTTAGAGAGGCAAAAGCTACCATTTTGGCACAATGTGACCGAGTTCAACTAAATTCGATTATGACCTTCAAAATCAAATGTGTCACGACGCGATGGAATCAGGCGCTGGTCAATTTTTGGTTATGTGGAGTTATTGGTATCATCTTATAACTTGTCTTGCTTTCTATGAATAAAATATCCAGTTTTCTTGAACACAATTCGAGATATTTGGGTTTGAAGGAGGTAGGGGTTGCCTGGTTTCAGAGGTTGGCGGGTGCTCTGTTGTGGTTTGTTTCTTCTTTCCAATCAAACATCTATCGTCCTTGTCTCCTTTCCTTTTTTATGTTTGTTACTCTCTTGTAACACCTCTAATCTTCTGGCGCTCATATGACCTTATGCAGTTGCGAGCGTAGTAAAACGTCTACTAAAACAAAACAAAGAGGTAAAGTTAGTGGAAAATGGCGGCCAAAATGAAAATTTCCTTAGCTTGTGAAAAAAAAAGTCGATAAAAATTCCCAAACCTTCGGAAAAATGCCAGATTCTTCAGCTTCATTATTTTGACAAACGCCTTACTGATTTCACCACGCTCCTTCGCAAATGCTTTTATTTTTAAAGGTCACAAGTGGAATTGGGCCAAATTGTGCCGAAACGGTACTCTTTGCTCATCCATGAAGGAAAAAATGTAGCTGGCTGTGACTCAATGTGACTCGGTCCGATTGGCGGTATACACTGGGTGTTATGTCTATGCTGCCACAAATACACCACAGGACTTTTTTGTGGGTTTTTTTAAACCCTGCCCAATTCTATCATCTGGCGCTTTTGTTACAACAAAATGTGCAGCTTTTTGGATTTCGAAATTAGCTGTTAGTCTTAGAGTAAACACACAGAAGAATGTTGTAAATATAAATAACTACATAAATATGTATATGGCTCTTCTCGTCTATGCAGGCGGTAATTTTAGCTTAAGATGGTCTCAATGTTGTCTTCATGCAGCTTCTTTCATGGCTAATTCTTCCTATGTTTGAAGCGCAGACATAAGTACGTAAATACATGAATAAATCTTAGGCCCTTTGTTGATGTTGCAGACTTGCACAGATGTAATATGTTATTGTTAGATTTATATAATTAATTATGCTCGTGTTCCTAGGCAAATGTATCGTCGGTGTCGCAAGCAATCCATTTCTGTCCTATTGAGTACTTTTTATATTACACCAGAGGTAAAAAAAACTAATTTTTGGTGTGTTGTTCCTATCAGGAATTATGAAAAGCAAGAAAATTGTAACCCTTTACAAAAGCATTAAATGGGTTTTGGTGATGTTGAAAGGTGCATCTTTGACAGAGCTTCGTGAAGGTGTCATCATCCAATGCCAGATCTGCAACAGACTTCGGCGGTCATGGCTCTCCATTCATTTCTTTGCTCGGATGCTATTAAAAAAGCTACTTTTCCCTGATCTTTTCCCGTTACCCATTTGTTTAGGTTCCCTAAGCAGGTTGCTCTGCCTCATTTGCCTTCAATTTTGCCAGTGAGAGCTAGATGTTCAAGACCTTTATGTCTATTCAGGTGTCCAAAAAACTACACTTTTGTCGTTTCCTGATTGTCTTTAACAGTGACCGCCCCACGTGGGCTTCATCTAGGTGAAGGTGTAAAAATTAAAATTTCTCAAAATTTGGACTTTAGTGGATTGCTTGTGACAGTGACGATATTTCTATTGTCATGGTTTTGTTTTCGTTGTTTTACTGATGGCATTTGGTTTTATGATAGTTTTGATTAAAAGCTTTGGTGTAAGTAGCTGTAAATCATTATTGCCTAGCTTTTAGTATTGAAAATTGTCCACAAATGCTTCATCTTCTTTTTCAAGAAAAGTCGTGAGGGTGATGTAAATTTTTAAATTGGCGTAGAAATAAGAAATGCTTTGTTACGACTATTTTCCTTGTCTACACAGCAATATGTATTTTTTTAAAAAGAATCAATCAAGGCTCTGATTTAAAGTGTAACTCTGTCTAGATGATAAATACATTTATATGAGACAAATGATGCCATAAGTGTTTGTCATTTATTTATGTAGTTTGAGGTTCTCATATGTGTATGTGCCAGGTGAAAGGTACAAAATGAAGCATTTTGAAGAATCCCTTTTTTTTTCCATTTTCGTGTACAGAGATCATTTCTGCACTATGCTTTTTGAATTTTTAAGATGTCTGCAGTAGTTTTTTAGATATGGGTGATTTTGTAAGGTAAGGCAGAGTACGGTAACAAAGTTTGAGAAAAACGGCTTTAAAGTTTCCCTTTTGTTTCCGCTTCAAATAGATAGATTCACGCTTCGAGACGACCTGACAACACATTCGCTACTCACAAACCAACTTTAAAAAGCAGTTCACATATAAGAACATCTTCAAAGTGTTTATATTATGTCTTCAAAACAAATTCACCACCGCCTTGAGCAAGAATTTTCAAGAAATTAGATCTAGATTTACGCAGGACCGAAATATGCGATACAAGTTTGCTCTAAAAAAATAAAAACCCAAAAGGGTGTGGATGCACAAAGCTTCGATTTTTTTTACATGGTCTAGATATTCATTCGCACTACTCGCCATTAGAGAGGGGAGAGAATGAGCTAAATTTTGGTATGCATTGTGAATTTTTGTTTTTTGGCTCAATACCTTGTATGTCCATTCAAAAACACTTTTATGTGTGGATTTTATGGATAAACGTTGATTAAAGGCACAAAAATGTAACTTTGCAGTTTCCAAGGACTCATAACCTATGGAAGTCACCAAACTGTTGTGGCCATTTTCTCGTTAATTTTACTTTTGAAACCAGTCAATCCCACCTCCTTCAATCGCAAATATCTCGAATTCTATTCAAGATAAATGGATATTTTTTTCATCGAAAGGAAGGCAAATGAAAAGTTTATAATGTGATACCAATGACTGCATATGCCCCAAAATGTCGAGCGCCTGATTCCACTGTGCCGTGACACATATGTACACATGGTAGAGTTCATGTTTTGGAAAGGATGACCAGACCAGAAAGGAAAAAGTGTCAGTGTGTTCAAAGAGGGATCCTGTTTTCAAGTGTAATGACTTATGGTCGCACCATTTAACACCTTATTATTTGAAAAAATAGTTTTGACTTTCGTAGGTTATAACAAAATTATTGAGAACAAGCTGTTATTTTTCTTATATGCTAGAGTTTTGGGATAATATTCACTTCCGAATGAAACTCTGCTGTCTGTGTACATTTCTGGTGAAGATTTTGTCTATTGTCCAAATAGGTATGATTTATGTTTATGTGACAAATTGTAATTTTTCCCAATTCTTTCCCATCTGCTCCATTGTATTTTTTGGATGCTGCCTACTATCAAATTAATTGCCACCGGCATATCCACCTATATAGATCAAACATTTTATAAATAGAGATATATAATACTGATTTTGAGAGATATATATATAGGCTATGTTGTTAGCGAGTTTCCACATCTCTCTGACTGCATCTCAGGGTTGTCACAGACGGATGTTACCGTGCACATTGCAGGTGTCAGCTCCAAGTTGTAAGAACAGGTTTATGAAAGGTTTTAAACCCATCCCAAAACCAAGATGTGCGCTCATATCCATTTCCCGTTGAAGGAATGCATTTGTTTTGTCATTTGATGTCTACTGTTTTCACAGGAAAAGTATATTGTGGGTTTTCATCTGGTAAAATGGGCAGCAATATCATCGTTACATGTCATTGAACTGTTTTGAATTAAAAGAATTCACCGCCATAAAAAATATCCCTGTCACACCTGTAAAAAAAATTAAAACACCCCTAACTCCTTTCTTGATTGATTCCAAACGTTGTGACCGGTTATCTCCTCGGGAACATATCAAAGAAGCCAAGACAGGAAGGGAGGGAAGTAGTACTCGGACAATCTGTACTCTTCAAAAAAAAAAAAAAAAAAAAAAGAAAAGAAATGCATAACTTCTTTAGGGAGACAAACAGAGGGTGGGTTGTGATGCACAGGCCAAGAGAACAACTCGCACTGACTGCTGAAGGCGAATGCCCCCCTCCCAAATCCTTGCAATTCATGTTTACCTTAGATTACTATTATATATGAGAACCCAGAAGTATGGGTCTAGATTATGCTTTTCTTTTTTTTTTTTTTTTTTTTTTTTTGAAGAGTATACTGTCTCTATGTCTATTGCTCAAGCAGAGCTGTTTTTTGTATCATACATGCTGATTTGTTCATCATTGATATTGATGGACAGCCAAAGAAGAAGTCATGTTGTAAATTTGCCGGCATCACAGAAGCTGGGATAGGGGATCCTTATATCCAAACGAAGAGACTGTTGTTTAACTTGTTTATATCTCGTGTGTACGATTACCATTTATTTCTTGACACTCATACTCATACAGTGAGTGCCAATATAGCTGACTGCTAGAACTGACAGACAGGATGCTACAAGGATAGTTTAGGGTTGTAAATATAATATATACAACATTTTTCTAAATTAATGTTTCCCTATGTCGATGGCATTGTTCACAAAATTTGTATTCCACGTTTTGAAAAATAATCGGGCATTTCAGTCACCTAATAGGACAGTTCTCTCACTCTGGTTTAAAAAAAAAATTTTTAATACTTTTTTTTTCGCAGTTCTTAATGAAAATTAGTAGAGATAGCATAAGGTCTGTTTACATTTCCCAGGAAGGGATAAAAATGATACACTTTAGTTTTAATGTGAAACTGTAGAAACACGTGCTCATGGCTTACAACTTACAGACCTAGTGAGATGGGCTATTGATATTGTATGGAAGTGTAAGTTTTTGACAGACAAAGAGTGAAACTTTTCCGAGACAACCAGCCATTGTCGAGGAGAAAAGTGGTCATCTTAGACAGGCAGTCCTCATGGACAATGTCATGATAGTATAGAAAAAAATGTAGAAGTAGAAGGGAGGGAAGCAGGAAGTCGTCGGTTATACAGGTGAGAGTTACAAGACATTTAAAGTATGACCTGCTAGTTCACTTTGTTCACATGTTTGTTCTATGTCCAAGCAGAACACTCTTGGGTCTTGGGTGTTTTAAGAGAGGTATTTCTTGTTCTTGACTCCATTAGCTCAGTTTCTTTCAGTGATTAACTTTTTATCCAAGGTTGTGCCTCATTGAAAAGACATTTGAAATTGTCCAAGTCCAAAACGGCTACCCATTGTTGAGGAGGAAAATGATTGTTTTAGGAAG